TTTTTTTAAAAAGTTTAAATAACTTACAATACATTCAATTTACTGCAAGAATATCCAAAAATGTACAAGGAGGTCTAAAACATAAAAACGTTGAAAATCAAATAGTAAAACATTACGAAAAACCGCAAAATAGTCGATGTTTAGTGAAATTGTACTCGATTTACTTGTCATTAATCCCGTGAGTTAGCCCATTTTACCGCAAACATTTAATTGAAAGTTTCATTTCTGAAAGTGAATACAATGTCCCCGATTTAGTGCTGGGAAAATTTCAATAAATGTGCTATCTACCCTGTAAAAGAAATTTTACGAGGGGGCCGGGATCCCCTTGGAGGGTCGCACCATTATAAATCACTCAGGAAGGGTCACTCTGTGTACATCCATATATAATTCTGGTTTTAATGATAAGGCTGTAGCTAGTAGAAGAAAGCATCGCTCAAATGCCATACAAAAATATCAACGTGAGCAGTTTTCTCTCTTGAAAGAAATAAGCAACACCCTCGCTCCCCCGAACCCAAAAATGAAAATACTGGATTGACCCGACGTTCAGAAAAGGATGTAAATGAAGACGATTGCATGTTTTTGTCTATGCCGAAACGTATAAAAAAAAAACTCATTATTCAGGAAGGCGACAAAAATTACTGTAGAAATTTAAATTCAGGGATTTAAAAACATGACCAAACAACCAAATATCTGCTCTTTGATTGTTTGTGTCTCAATTTTGTTTGTTTCTTTTTTTCAAGTAAATCAATAAAGAAATGTTCAATTTATATTCTTATCATATATTTATCGTGGGAAATTGAGGCATTAAGGACACACCCACATATCTAATTGAGTCAATCAAACACCGCTAAATATTTCAGAAATAGAAAAGTTTTTCACCATGAAGAAACGATTCTTTGCGAGTATTTGAAGCATTGATTGGCTGAAAAAGTGGGTTATGTTCTAATACAAAGAAGATCAGTCTAATTTGTCAAAATTGAGCTAATCGTAGAAAAAGGATCGCTGGAGAAGGATATCTTATCCCAGAGAAAGCATGATGACCACCACAAATCGAGTCCTCTGTCTTAGAAACGTCATTTATCCAATATGGATATAGAATGCTAGCTTTGTTTTTTAATTATATATATGTTTAAACTCTAAATTGAACAATATTGTAGGGATTTATTAATTATGCTATCATCAAAATATTCAATTATTTTCTAGCTTTAAGGTATCCGATCCATATTAGCTTCAGATTCAGTGGAATTTAATGTATAATAGATATGTATGGGCTGAATACTTAATGTAGTTAGAACTTATTTTCATCTTTTAATATAAGAATGTAAGAGTGGGACATGTCCTAATTTATTACCTTTTTCTGCCATTGACGAATTATCTCCCTTTGATTTGACTCAATAAAAATTAAATTAGAAAAAATCTGTCTTGTAAAAAAATTATTTCTAATTGTTTTTTCTATTCCCAATGATCAAGTGCATCTTTCCATCACAGCATTTTTTTCATATTTGAAGTATTTATTTTTTTATCTTAAAAAACTAACTTCCTTCCATAGACTTTAATGCAATCTTCAATAATTAATTTCTGCTCAGGTAAATAAATTTTTGAAAATTTCGCTTGGTAAATCCCTTTCTACTCTAAAATGCTTTAAAATAATATCAGGATATTTTACAAACAATTGAATTTAAGGGTAGAAATTTTGGTCCATAACTTGGCGATCTTTTTTAACAAATTGTTCAACTATGGACATCTCTTCTCCGACTTTCTTTCACTAGGCAACAAAAGAAATCTCATTTTTCATCATCCCTCTTCCTTTACTAATGCAGTCTATCCAATTAATGCTTAAACTTCTGGAAAGTCTTTTGTCTTCATAAAGCTTGTGAAAATTACAAAATGCTATGCAAAGGAAACTCCAAGTTCAATCTTAAAAATTACAGTCGTTTGTTTCTCGAGTAGGAGCGTGTTTACTTTTTTTCAAAAGTCGCCAAATGACTCTGTTAATGAGATGCTGGATGACCTCCCTCCAAACAATAATGTCAACGACTACGGACCATTATATGGAAATCCATCCCTTGGTATAAACTTTCGCAATCAGGTCGTTCAGTATCTACAAATATTGTAAAATCTAAGAATTGCGCATATATAAGAGATAAGACAATGACTAGAGACAGGTTTGTATTTGAAAATGAAAGTTTACTGAAATTGGAAGTTTAACTTTATAACATTGATTGTATTGTTTTCAATAAACAATTTTTTTTTAAAATGGCAGGGCCTATTTGGAATATCACAAATGTAAATCAATCTTTCAAAAAATGTGAAAGAATTAAAACATGAAATACCGTCAATCTATTTCTCTAATGAACTAGTTACCAAGAGATGAAATTCTAATGTGGAGACAAACACACTGTTTCCTATTTGCATATTGCTAGAGTCTGCATCAAGCAAAGTGTCTGGCGTAAAACACTTGGTAGACATCTCACAGGACAACATATTTATTGGAGATTCAGGCGAAGCAGAACAATATTTTTAACAGAGTCTGACACATCTGTTTCAAACTTGGATATTTTACTTGAAAAAGACGTTAATGGTAATCTAAAAACCAAGCTCTCTGATAAACGTGATGACTTTAACTTTTCTATAGTCAACTTTCCTTACTTGTGCAGCAATATACCTTCATCACCTGCAAACGGAGTTCATATATCTCAGTTGATTCGATACGCAAGAGCATGCTCTACGTGTGAACAATTTCTAAAAGGAGCTAATTTTTGACAAACAAGTTAATGTAACAAGTATATCAGCAGTCTTGTTTAAAATCATAATTTCGTAAGTTCTATGGCCAATACAATGACCTTGTCAGCAAATACAATTTATTATTGAGTCGAATGGTGACTGACGTTTTTCATATTGCATATAATTGTTAGTCCATTATTTAAACACTTAATTGACGAAGATTTTTCCGTTATTTCTCGATCATGACAAGGAGCACACGGTGGGTGTGACCGGTCGGCAGGGGATGCTCACTCCTCCATGGCACCACCTGATTTAACTTCTAAATAAATGTTTTGGAGGTCTGTGTTTGCTATGCTCCTATTTTGTATTGTTTTATGGACTTTGATATTGAATACTCTTTGTTATCTCCATATCCTTCTTTCCATTCACTATTGTGACCCCGCCCTACCCCCTGGGTATTGATTTTAATAATTTAAAATCTATATTACCCCTAAGATGATTCCACATTAGTTTTTGCTTTAATCGCTTAGTGGTTCTTGAGAAGATTTTAACAATTATAGAATTTATTGATTTAAAGAATTTTCCTGTATATTTCAATGTAAAACTTGGATTCCATTTTGTGTCTCAGGTCCATGATTATAACAATTTAGAATCCACACTACCCCCAGAATGCTTCCACATACGTTTTAGCTTTTATGGCTCAGTGGTTCTTATGAAGAAGATTTTTTAATGACCCCACCCTATTTTGTCTTTTCTTGATTATCTTCTCTTGGAAGGCGACTTGGCCCTTCATTTGAACAATTTAAGTTCCCCTATCACCGAAGGATTAGCACCAATAAAATTGGGCCATTGGTTCTTGAGAATTAAAGAAGTTGAAAATGTGAAAAGTTTACACACGAACGGACTACGGACAACAGGTGATCAGAAAATCTCACTTGAGGTGAGTTAAAGCTCTCTGTTGCTTTTGATGATTGAAAAATAAACATATGCACGTCTTTGTAGCAATCTTCAATGTTCTTGGTAAAATTATAAAATTCAAGCAAGTTATAACCATAGCTTTCAAAAATTTTTTTAAAGATAGTAGTTGTTAACAAATTCTTTTAGGAAGTTATGATGAACTGGAAAAATGATAAGGAGTAAAATAATCTTCCATTTACTTATCAATTTTAATAGTTGTATTTTTTAACTAAAAACATTATATACATTGCAATGAAGATATATAGTATCAAGAATTGTTTTTACCAAATAAATATCTATCGATTTAGTTCGTGCTATTATCGTAATTAAATCTAAAGTATGTCAATAGTCGAAGTATTTCTAAGAGAGTTTTAAATGGGGGTTTTTTAAAAACATTTCTAATTAACTGATAGAATGTACACAAGACCATTGATATAAATATTTTAAACGTTTTTGAAAATGAATTATTTTTCAAGTATTAATCATTATACTGCTACAGCTGTATCTATCCTATTGGATGATTATGAATGTAGCACTCTATAAATACGTCTTGTCAAATGGTTGTTTCGTTTCCTCAATTTTTTTCCATCCCCTTCTCACTTGAAGAGATTGTCCTTTTTAAAATAAACATAAAATTTTAAACAACACATATCACATTATTTAAAAAGGTATGTTTATTTATGTATATTTTATAATCATTAGTTATTAGTGATTGAATTTATTTCAATCTTGTTGGAATACATTTAAAGTGTATGGAATTTATTTTAATTTTATTTCGTACTTGTTAAACATGAAAATGTTGACTTTTCTTCTAAACACATCCTTAATAATGCTTGTAGTTTTCTCTCATTTACTTTTTAATTTATATAACTAGACGTATTTCCGTGATGCTTTACTTTCTTTTCATTTGTACCATCAGAAAAATTTAAGTACATTAATTTTTACTTATTGCTTGATAAATTGGTTAATTTTATTGAAAAAGGTTAAGATTCTTATGAAATAAACTGTCAAATATAACCAATCGTACTGCTGAGTCTTCATCCTGTAATACAGATACATGTAAAAGAAAAGTTTTAATTACTGCCTCTATCTGAAGAATTAATAAAAAATAAGTAAATGCTGATAAATCTAAGACGCGAGAGAGAGAGAGAGAGAGAGAGAGAGAGAGAGAGAGAGACAATTCAGCAATTGGAGTTTTGAAAAAGTTTTGTGAGATAAAGATGCATCTTAGCAGGGATTAAGCCGATTATCTGACTATTTTAAAAAAAAAAGTATCAATATTTCCAGAAACGATCGGAATGGCAATTACTAGGCAGCTAATTATCAATTTGACTACGTCTGCAGTGGGTATCTTTCTTTGCCTTGTTGCCTTGGTAACTCCTGGATGGGGTTCCATTCCGGTAATACAATGATTTTAATTGAAGTAAATTATGTTAAGATATCCAGGACCCTATGTTTTTTTTAATTAACTTTAGAAGATAAATGATTTTCTCCATATTCCACATGTTTTATAAATTTTCACTACCCTTGAAGCTAATTTAAAGCTTATTCTACTTGACAGGAACTATTTTCATTCAGCATATTTTACGTATGCTATACAAAGTCTGGAGAATGCTCTGCAACAGAAATTTACAATGACGATTTACCAATATACACAAGTACGTTCTACCGTAAATCTCGCTTTCCTTCTCTCTCTCTCTCTCTTTCTCTCTCTGTATTATCTTGTCTTTTGATAATTTATATAGTTTTCATGTGATTATTTGACATCTAAGAATAATTTTTCAGAGAGAGAACACAAAAATCCATTAAATTCCTCATCGAAACTTTGAAACATTAAAGAGAGACAATATCTAGAAAATATTTGCTTTTTTGATGTTCGAGTTTTTTTTTCTTAGTTTTGATAGACGTACAACTAGCCGGTGTTCTAGCGATCATACTTGGTGTAGTTGGTTGGTTGGTTCTTATGGTGTATGCCATTTCCAACGAGTCATCTGCCTCTTCGCTTGTTACAAGCGGCATAATACTGCTTGTTGCATGTAAGAGTAATTCATTTTAAAACTTAAAGGCTTAGCAATTTTTATCGTTTTTTTTTAAACTGACTGTAAAACTTACTATCATTCAAACATTATTTTACAGCGACATTTGAATCTGTTCTTCTGGTAAAATTCGTTGTTTTCAATATAATGGTTTTCAAAGAACTATACAAAAGCGTCCAGTTTATACTTCCTTACTCTATAATCATTTCCATCTCTGGTTTATTCCTAATTATGTTTACGGTCGTGAGGATTTTCATTGGAAACAGACAAAGGGAGAACAATCGTTTGAGGACAGATAGTTCGCTGGTCATCACCACTGAAACTTACAGTCAACTAGAATTTCACAGGATTTAAGGGTATATATGAATTGCCACAGTGAGCCTTTTTATGAAGAAACTCAACTCTGAATTTTATCCCTCTATAACAAAAATTTTTTCATACCTTTACAGGCAGTGTTACATGTATCGTAAGCTGCTTCAGTTTTTTGTAGAATCAATGCAAGACCATGTTGTTGTTACATATACATGTATCATACCATCAATAAAATCATCCGTTTCTGCTTAATGAGTTTCATATATACGAGGGCTGTTCGAAAATTATTGAGACATAGTGTATATTTTGCTTTCTAATTAACGTCTTTCGGTTACGTTTGGCTTATACAAGAATTATTAAAAGCAAGAAATATTTTACAAATATTAAAAAATTTCTCTACAGTGGTATATAAATGCGTCAATAGTAGGGGTACCCGGAGCAGTCACAAAATCAGATATTGAAAATATACAACACCAACTTTCTAACTCTTCGTGATTTCCATGATAAGATCGAAAATATTTCAGTTTAAGTGTAAAATTTTTCAGCTTAATTTCAAATTCATGTTGTGCAACTTCGATAGAATTTTGATCAGAAATACGTAGATCGTAAAAAAAAATGAAGGGTGGTAGAGATATCCGCTAACAAGGACAATGGATTTTGATGTCAAGGGCGGAGCTAAGGTGGTACATTTAGGACATGCAATTATTTTTTTTTAAAATACCAGAAATAAATAATCTTGTGAAAACGAGATATTATCTTGTGAAAACGACTTATTATCTTGTGAAAACGAGATATTATCTTGTGAAAACGAGATATTATCTTGTGAAAACGAGATAATATCTTGCGAAAACGAGATAATATCTTGTGAAAACGAGATAATTATCTTGTGAAAAAGAGATAATATCTTGTGAAAACGACTTATTATCTTGTGAAAACGACTTATTATCTTGTGAAAACGACTTATTGTCTTGTGAAAACGACATATTATCTTGTGAAAACGACATAATATAATAATGTGCAATGATAAAGTGAGAGAATAGTGGGATAGAAAAAAACATAGGCATTATCAATTATAAAAGGAGAAAAGTTGAAGAAATCCCACCTCTGATGTTTTGTAGGTCCGTGTTTGCTCTGCTCCAATTTTGTATTGTTTATGGACGTTAATATTGAATACTGTTCGTTATCTCCTTTACCCTAAATACAGTCATACAAATCATTTTTTCAAGAGAATCAATCAGATTCTTCGTTGGATGTCAAAATTGAAGGTCAGTCATATTCAAGTATTTTTCAGTCAGATTCATCACTGTCGTCACTCAACGCATCATCATTTCGGTCGTAATGTATACTTTCAAGCAAGATTTACAACTTGTATAAATTATGACGATATATACTCAACAAAAAAAAGAAACGCATATTGTTTTACTCGTAAAAGAAATTTTCAAATTATGAATGGAACAACTATCGTGTATATCATTGGATATCTGTGACCCTTTTAAAGCACAACTTGGGGTTTTAAAACCCAAGTGTAAAATTATCTCCATTGATTGAACGTGTTTGAAATAAAAGTAATGTTTTTCAAAATTTCTTCTAAATCGGATGTCTATTTTCGTTGATATTTTTGATTTAGAGAAACAATGAACACTCCTATTAAACCCATATTTAAGATTTGATTGAAGTGTTGATGCTACAATGCCACGCCGAAACAAAGATGAACACAACCAGGCTAACGATGATACTAAATGGAGCTACGCAACAGAAAGTTGCAACTGCATTTGGAATACATCAATGGGCTTTGCAACTGTTAAACTAATGTGGGAAGACCAAGAATTGGCCGTCTGCAGGTAACCACACCCAGGCAGGACCGTCAGACCCCCCCCCCATTCAGCGCCTCAAGCGATTCATAACTTATCGTAAAAACTGTTGCAACAATCACTGAATGAAAAAAACCAGCGAAAATGTGCAGAAATTGTTCCCAAGAGACTGAAAGGAGGTGGTATTCGTGCACGATATCCGTACATTGGAAAATCACCAGCGCTTGGACGTCACAAGGATATATGGATTGGTTAAGGCGTTATGCCCCTTGAATTTGGAGGGGTCGACAATGACAAAAACTGCACTTTTCTACTCACAACACAGGATATGTTTAATTTCTATTAAAGCCCTCTATAATCACTTTTAAAAAAAATAAGGATTAAACTGAAAACACAGATTATCATGTTTAATCTGAATATGCGTTTCTTTTTTAGTTGAGTATATTATATTTCATTATTAGAAAAAAGTACTGGAGATTGTAAATAAAAAAAAATGCTTAATTCGTGGAAGAATTTTTAGCATTTTGTTTCTCTAAAGCAAATAGCATCAATTTTCATTTTATTAAGAACCAAAGACCTATTTAGAAATTTTGCGCCAATGCGTAGAAAACCGCGCATATGCCTTGAATCAGTTAGGCGTAATTATGTATTGCAAAAGTTGAAAAATGTACATTTTAATTTTTTTAAGGAGGATGGCTCCTGTGCACAAAAGAATTAAAATTTTTCGTCAAGCATACTTGAAGAATATACACACATTCCTTTACAAAAATCGAAACAAAACATAAGTGTCATTCCGCTTCTTTGCTTCTTTTCGCACACGGGGCAATAAATATGACCTTTTTACGTAAAACACATAAATCAATTTTAAAAAGTTTTTTTTCTTTAATACTTTTTTACCCAAATGAATTATTGGATCAAAAAAGTCTTTAATTATCTGAAATTGTCACATTAAAACTTTGACGATGAAAATACTTTAAAATTACTTCGCATTTATTTAAATTATGAAGAGATTGTCCAGCTTTAGTGAATAAACTTTTTTTCCTGGACTACATGTTTATACGAATGGCAATACCAAACAGATTATGAAAATTTTGAGGAACAAGCTAAAACCAAATTTCAAAAGAAATACAATAGTACTTTCTATAGATGATAAAAAAAATGAATTTCAAAAATTCAATTTGAATGCAAAGACTATTACTTAACTGTCATAGAACAACTGATTAAGGAACCAACTTGTATCACAAAATGGGGGAACATTGATCAAAATTATCGTCATTAGTGAATATAACCGATAATAACCAAACGATGTAGTTTTGTTTTGATGAACTAGAGAATGATAACGTGAAAAATATTTTTTCACTTCTTATCAATTTTAATAGTTGTGCTTAGGTAGGAAAACTTCTGTATCGTGATACCTATTTCAAAATAATTATGAATTGGGTCACCAAATATGCATTTTTATAACTGAAAATTTTTAAGTCTTTTGCTATTGATAAAAATGAAATTTTCTTTGATTTAAAAGACTTTGGATCATAACTTAGGAACTTCTAAAAAAAAAAAGAAGAAGAGGGAAAATACTTATAGCATTACATAATCATGAGAGAAACTTTCTCCTGGTTAATTAACCAGTGAGAAAAGAACTACACCTCTAATCACAGGAGAGAACGACACCTTTAATCTCAGTGAGAGAACTACACCTCTAATCTCAGCGAGAGAACTACACCTCTAATCTCAGTGAGAGAACTACACCTCTTATCGCAGCGAGAGAACTACACCTTTAATCTCAGTGAGAGAACTACACCTCTAACCTCAGCGAGAAAACTACACCTCTAATCTCAGCGAGAGAACTACACCTCTAATCTCATCGTGAGAACTACACCTTTAATCTTAGTGAGAGAACTACACCTCTAATCTCAGCGAGAGAACTACACCTCTAATCTCAGCGAGAGAACTACACCTCTAATCTCAGTGAGAGAACTACAACTCTAATCTCAGCGAGAGAACTACACCTTTAATCTCAGTGAGAGAACTACACCTCTAATCTCAGCGAGAGAACTACACCTCTTATCTCAGTGAGAAAACTACACCTCTAATCTCAGCGAGATTCGTCGAAACTAAAAAAAATTGGACAGGTTTGAAATGACACCCCTTTGTAAGTACATTGGTTCATATCTGTAGTAAATCATCTCTATGACATACAACATAGAAATTATACATATGTATGACATCGAGCTTGACTTTCTCTGATGATTAATTTTTAATTAAATGACTAAAGTTGATGTGAACACTTTTCATCACATAGTTATATTGTGAAAAGCTGGAAAACAAGGGCTAATCGAACCACTGCATTAAAAATGAATGGTAAAGAATAAATAAACTAGAGTGAAATTAAACGCTAAATTAAAACTGTTATAAAACTCGTTAAGAATCCCAAAGAAATATTCACTGAAATATTAGAAATTTACAGCAACCAATGTCTTTTTTATATACACGGAACCAAGTGATTTTCAGTGAACAAAAATACAACTGTAATATAATGGTCATCAAAAACGGGTACCCTACTTGGAGACAAGGACGTACAACAACCAATGTATTGTTTGCCAAAATTCAACAAATTATCACTGATAATGTTTGATTGACTTTTAGACACATAACAAAATTGATAAGCAACGTTTTGCAGGTTGTTTATTCTATTTTAAGAAATATCTGACAGCAAAAAAGGTAAGTACTCAATGGTCACCCTATGTTTTGAAAAATCAGTAAAAAGAAGC